CCTGAATTTTTTCCCACTCTGACCCTATTTCAAGGCTTGAAAATTGTTGCTACCTCTCAGTGAGTGGTTTAGTGCTGGTGGTTGGGGTGGGGGGGAGCAAAAAGAAGATCGCTGACAGCAGGGGGAGGGTACTTGCCTGCCTTTGCTGCCTCAGAGCTCATGATCCCAAATTTGAGATCATGACCTGATCCCAGCACCCACTTTGGGAAGCACTGTTATAATATCGTATAAATTGTAAAAGGTTGCTTGGTCAAGTACAAAATAATATCAACAGTCCATTCTACAGCACCATCATTTCACACCATATTGAATGGGAAATGTGATTCAAACTCAGAGCAATATTTTGGGATAAACACAGCAAGCTTCTATTCTTACTGCATATAAAATGATTTATTGAAAAAAATCAAAGAACTACGGATGCTGGAAATCAGACACAAAAACAGAAATTGCTGGAAAAACTCAGCAGGTCTGGCAGCATCTGTGGAGAGAAAAAGCAGAGTTAAAGTTTCCAGTCCAGTGACCTTTCTCCAGAACTGGAGTTCCGAAGAAGGGTCACCAGATCAGAAAGGTTAGTTCTGATTCTCTCATCAGATGTCACTAGACCTGCTGAGTTTTTCCAGCAATTTCTGTTTTTGTAATACGATTTATTGGCTGAGTACTATTATTTTGTATAGAATATCTGGAGGCAGTGAAAAATGTCAGATTCTGGATGAATCTCAGTCAAAATAAATCATTGGTTCCATTGATAAGTATTTAAAAATAAAACGGTATCAATGTTCAAATATGTGAGAAAGAGTCATTTTTACAATATAAACTATTTATTAATCAACATAACATTTCCTATCAACACAGTACCTGTACCTACACAATAGTCTTCCATTCCAACTAAAATAGTTTCATATATTTTCAAAATATCTGCTGGACACGCACACAATTCATCTAAGTGTTACCTTACTTTGATTTACCTTTCTGAGTTCTGCGCAGTGACAATTTTTTATGTTAGCGACAAGAATTATTAAGAGAAGGATGTGTAGTCAGAATGGAGCTAATGAACCTATCAGTCAAATATTTCTCATGGATTAATAAGTGTAATAGTCAACTTAACGGATGGAAACTTTCTTGGGTGTTAGCATTGTTGTTTAGCAATGTCACATCAGAATATATGTGCCTCTTTTTCAACTCTATTGAAGTGAATGGGTGTGAATGTCAGATGGGGTGCATAATCAGATGCACTATGTTGTGAAGGTCACTGAGTGCTTTTGTTGTAAACAAACTTTTACCCTTAAATATTTTGCCACTTCCACCAGTGGAAATATCACCGAGTGAATTGCTACTCTTTACACAAAATCCTTTACTTGATTATTGGCAGTATTGGCCCAGCACTGGGTATGCCACACTACAATTTACACTTAACACTGGATTCCTTGCAGTTTGACACATTTTATGTGAAACTCTTCCAAGTATTTCCATCTGGAGCCAATGGACAGTGTACTTCTGTTGTATGTGGATATTGCTGGTGAAGATGTTCCAAGCAGAAGCCTGAAACAGGGCTTTTCCTGGCGTGCTTCCATTTTAATGCTTCAGACTTCAAGTGGCCACAGGTGACAATTTGGTGATGTGGGCAGTGGAATGGGGTTGGGGATGGGGTTTGGTCACCTCCTGTTGTTGAGTGGGCATAGAAATATCCCAAAATAAAACATAATAGCAGAATAGTAACCTTCACTATTTCACTGTTAAAGTATATAGATTTTAAAAGTCTAAACTTTTCAAAAATTAAACTATCTTGTGAAATGACCACTTATTCACTGGGCCTAATGAGATACGTGGGCAAGTAGAAAGCCTGCATAGAATGTGTCCATGATGCAAGTAACACATTGTTGTTATTTATCAAATTGACTCTCAGCCAGTTGAGGTCCTGATTACTGAGGTACAACAATATCTACGAGGAGTTTAGAAACTCGAGATAATGTGAAGGAGGCAATGGACTATTAATCCAAAAACCCAGGTAATGTCCTGGGGACCTGGGTTGGAATCCTGCTGTGGAATTTGAATTAAAGCAAAATGGAATAAAAGTCTAATGATGACTATGAAACCATGTTGATTGCTGGGGGGTGGAACCCACCTGGCTCACTAATGCCCTTCAGGGAAGTAAACTGTCATGTTTACATGGTCTGGCCTACATGTGACTCCAGATAGCTCCTAAATGTACTGATTTTCTGATCAGTACCCCTGTAGATTGATGTGAGCCTGTCACACATGAACGTCCACTCCCCTCTACCCTTTCCCCTCCCAGCAAACCCTGAGATGGGGAAAAATCAACATCAGGCGCATGTATCATAGAGCTAAGGAGCTGGTCCCAGGATTTTCCTGACAGGATCTCAGCTCTACGATTGACCATCACTGACTGTGAACTCGTGACCCCAAAATCTTCTCCTGTGACCGATGGCTTGGGAATCCCTGGACCAATGGGAAGGAATAAACAGAATTTTTGCTCAAAGTATGGATATGGGCTGTTGGCTCCCTCTGTCCATTTCCTTCACACCAGTGATCATAGAATCTTACAGTGTGAAAACAGGCCATTCGGCCCATCAAGTCCACACCAACCCTGCGGAGGGCATCCCAGCTAGATCCACTCCCCCTATCCTATCCCTGGAACCCTACATTTCCCATGGCCAATCCATCTAATCTGCACATCTTTGCATGTGGGAGGAAACCGGAACGCCCAGAGGAAACCCACACAGACATGGGGAGAATGTGCAAACTCCACACAGACAGTCACATGAGAATGGAATCAAACCTGACTCCCTATCACTGTGAGGTAGCAGTACTAACCACTGAGTCACTGTGCCACCCAAGTCATACAGGTTGATAGTCTAACCATTGCTCCCCGCTCACATAATGGCTGAAACTCAGTACCAGTCAAGTTTGACGGCAATTTTTGTATGTCTAATATTAGAGATATTTTATTTAAAACCTAATAGATCATGACAAAACTCTTGGTTAAAGCTTCCTAATTACACTTATCAGAAACTTAGTTAACATAGTTGGTGCTTCACAAAATGCAAAACAAATTGTTTTTGCAAATTATTTTTTTAAAAATCACTCCCTTTATATTCTCACTCTTCTTGCATTTCAACTTTATGTACAACCTTGGACAAGCTGTTCTTTAAAAAAATCCTGAAAGAAACACAGCCCTCTAGGAGGCTCTGACTCCCATTTATACAAGCTGGGTTTGGATATAAACACATAAGATAATCCATATATTCATGTCAAACTAATTGCTGAAATATTAACCTAAGCCAGAAGATCATTATGAATGTCCTAAACAGATGCATACATTGGATACAACTTTTAATTGCAATCAAACTTTTGCACCTTATTTCCAATTTAATTGTCATTAACATCTGAAAACCCTTGTTAGGATTATGAGCCAAATATTTGCTTGAGTCAGAAAATGTCTTGATACAGCATGTCTGCCTAGGAATTCCCCTACCAACTCACCGCCATCTCACCCCCACCCACGCCAACCACCAACGCATGTCCATTTCAACTCATGTCAATCCATAACTCCACCCATCCCCCAATAGCCCCTTACAGGCCTTATGCCAACTCCTCCCAAAGAATACAGTTCCAGCCACAACCTTCAACCCATACACCCTCAATACCAATTCACTTAATATCCACCATAACCAGAACCTCACCAGCCGTATTGAGACAAAATAAAGTTGTAAATGTCTATTACAAAGCTCACTATATAAAAATACTCTTAAGCATTAAAGCCCATTCAATGCATTTAAAAGCTCCTCAAGGACTTAACTACTTTGAAACAGATTTGCATTTATAATTTCATATCATAGGCAGCTAGCTGTTTAATAACATCTTTGAAATGTCGATCAAATGGTGAGCTTACAACACAGTGATAATGATCAGTTGTGGAAAGTTGGTATAATGATAGCACTGAGGCATATGTCAACAAGAAGTTATTGAAATTGCTAGAATTGATCTTTTCTTTCTCTCTACTCTCCAGCCCAGGCATGTAGTTTTTTTCTCCCATTGTTAAAGAGCTGGCCAGTTAGGTAACTTGACAACTTGACACTTCTTATGGTGGCATGATGGCTCGGTGGTTAGCGTTGGTGCCTCAGGGACCAGCTTCAATTCCAGCGACTGTGTGTGTGGAGTTTGCACATTCTCCCCATATCTGTACGGGTTTCCTCCGAGTGCTCCCATTTCCTCCCACAGTTCGAAGATGTGCAGATTAGGTGAATTGACCGTGCTAAATTGCCCATAGTGTCCAGGATGTGCAGTCTAGGTGAATCATCTATAAGAAATGTTCAATTACAGGGATAGAGTTGGGGGGCAGTGTGATGTGCGGTATGCTCTTCAGAGAGTCAGTGCAAACTCAATGGGTTGAATGGCCTGCTTCCACACTATAGGGATTCTATGATACAGACTTTATCTGACCTTCAAAAGCGTTTATAGACTCCTATGCTATGGATAAGGCTCTCAGCACTGGATCCAAGTAGCTTTCCAGAGAATGTGTTTCCCACATTTGTGAGTAATGTTCTGTTCTTCCACTCCATCCCTCAACAAAAATGGAATCTGTTGCAAACAGAAATGTGACTTTTGAATGTGCACCCCATCTTCTCATTTCAAAGATGCCCAGAGTTCCATGACTCTGCGAAAATCTGTCCCCATGTCTCTAGAACTCATTGAAGATTACATATTGGTAACTTTTTACACAATTACTTTTTAAAAATTTTGGATGGTATACACTAGTTGAGGGAAGTACCCGAAGAATGATATCATCATGGGAACACTAAATTTAAAAATAAAACTGCCATTCATGGTGGGTCCACAAGAGATCACAGATTTTATTTACACACCTTCTTTAAATTGTAAATGTGAGTGGAAGTAGAATGTGATTTTACCATTCAAGTACTATATCATTGACTCCGAACGTTTGCAATCACTCCATCAATCTCTTATTATTTATTGTCACAATGATGGTAAAATGTGGAGCATTGACTTCTGAATTCCATCATCTCATTTTAATGCTTGGGACTTTCATGAACTGAAATGGTTTTAAAAAGGGAAAAACACTGACTTAAAATGACCACAGTAATCACCTGACCACAGCTCGGTCAAGCTTCATGAAAACAAGGTGAAATAAACATAGACAATTTGAAACAAAATTAGCATTTCATCAAAAGGCATGAAACCAGTTGATCAAGTCAGTTTGAAAAGGCCTATGTCTCCTCCTATTTTGACTTACATTTTTTAATGGCATTTTTACATATTGGAGATGGATCCTTACTCACAATTAGCAAACCTAAAGAAGGATACTTTTGACGGAGAAAATATACAAAACAGGTTTGTAATCCAAGGAACTGCTTTTGCCAGAGCAGTGAAAATGGAGTTATGACTGCAGAACTGAAATTTGAGAAGTTGTCTCTTGTTTCTCAGGAGGGAAAATGCTCAGTGAAAACACAAATTGGAGAGAAACATCTCTATATAGTGACCTTAAAGGTAATTGCAATATCCACTACTGTTGTTATTCCAGAATTACTACTAATTAACTATGGTCTCAGGTTAAAACCTCATAGTACAAGGACATCGTAAGGACTTTAAAATTGTATGTTTTTTTGTACTGAACTCCTTCCTTTAGCTTTGTATCTATGTGTATGTTCTTGATGTCTGTCTTTTAGTTTTTAATCAGGTCAAGCAAGTAATAAAATTCCTCTTTCTTTCACTCAAAAAAACCTTGTGTTTGGCTCCTTACTGCTACAGTAAAACAGATTAACTACATTTTAGTTGGAGAGATGTATAGCTGCTGGCTAAAAGGAACTTTAAATATTTGCATGTTCAACTGAAGAGATGGGAAAATTTGCAGCCATTTGAACCATCCTCACCTTGTTACACTATATAATAAATTATGTCCCAGATTTGATTGTGAACCAATAAGTTGCTAAAAAAAATGAGCCACTAGGATTTTATATCAATGTTAAATATGTAAAAAATCAATCTGGAAAACTTGGAATGTCAGTAATCAGTGTGAAATAGAGCTTTGCACATTAAGACAGCAGTTCACAAAACATGGAATTCCCTTCTTGTAGGACGAGTTTGTACTTTGTTACATGCACTAGACATGATCTATGTCTTGGACATACTATTGCAGAGAACTGATTCATTTTATGGCTTTAATCAATGATTGGTAAATTGGCTTAATGATAATATGAAGGTGTAGGGAGTTATCAATCAGGTATTCTGAGGAATGTTTCTGGAAGTCAGCCTGGAGGAGAAAGTCACCTGTTTCCTCAGTACTTTGATGAAAATCATATATGTGTTTCACATATGACCTGCCATCCTTCTTCACTCTTACCAGGATTGTTTTCTGAAAAGTGACTCCTGCAAAACTAACACTGTTCGTAGCTGGAGTGATTATTATCCTCGGCCTACTTTCTTCAGGGTTGAATGCCTGGACAGCTCCATAGCTTGAATAAGAGTAAGAAGGCCTCAGGCTGACTGGCAGCCATCTTGGTGAAAACAGAGCATTCCAGGTCACCTTTTTGCTCGCATCATAATTACTAGGTGCCAGCTGAGTTTGGAAGCTTGTGCTGCGATCATCTCGAGCTGGGTTATTGATCACCCATTGAGAACCCCAGGAACTTGACAAATAGTTTCTTGGTATAAATAGGCTACAATTGACATTAAAATATTTGGCAAACACCAGGGGACTAGTAGAATGAAACTGGAAAGCAAGGAAAAACAAGTTGTGGATTGAACTGTAATGTTCATTCATGACGGAGGACTGTTTCTGTATTTGGAACAGGCTTTGGGGGCTGATCATGATGTAACGAATTAATTTGAGAACAGTTTCTGCCACCAGAATATCAGGCTGGTTTTTCTTAATCCACTCTTCAACTCCATAGTAAATCTCCAGTTCGTTTTCCACAACCAGGTCAGAGCGTTGAAGCAATGAGATCATCAAGTCATCACTGATGGTTTGCCACTCCTTGCTGTGAATGACAGTGGACATGTTCCAAGCCAGAAACCGCATGCACCTTTCCTGCAGATTTTTGTCTCCTATTCTGAGTGAATAGTGGTACCAGCTGACCACGTGCCCCCGAGGAGACGCACTGGCAAGTTGTTGGCTCATATACTCAATAATGCCCTGCTGTAGGGCAGTGACATGGTACTTGCTGGCTAATTTATGTAGAGGGACAACTTGATTCAAAAGGATGGTTATTTTGCCACAGTACAAGTATCTGGAAAACAAAGCAGAGTTTTCACATAGCATGTTTTGTTTTTGTTTATTTTCACTGAACTGTATTGCCTGAAATAGATTTTTGTTTTAAGAACAACAGTATTTTAACATTTCTGTTAGTCTTTACATAATTAATATACATGTGAAGTGAAAAATAATTATTTTGATGAATAATTTCAATAGTCTGGCTTTCTTTCATAATTTCAATGCTGAAGGACTATAGCTATAAAATTCATCACTGATCCTTTGACTGTGTACTACGAGCAGAGAAATGACTGTACCCTAACAGCTGGTGTTTGGAAAAACCCAGATTGAAGTGTCCAACATTAGATGTGATTCCATGATTGCTGAACAATCCTGATTTTGCTAAGAATTATACTAACAACAAATTTAAGATCGTCGGTCGAGGTCACAAAATGGATTTCACACAAAGGATCCATCCTTTGCAAAGAGAAAAACAAGAAGTCCAAGCACTGCACCTTTTTCAACAAAGTCTTGGAGGATGGTCATTCTCCGTTGCATTCCCAATGGCAATGCCTTGACCTATCAGATTTGATTTGCAAAAGATGGCAGTTAATTGTACCCTGGTGTATTCTCCATGCCAGTGTTCTACCAATCAGAGTCCGCTTGTCAACTAATCAGTTTTCTGACGCATTATAAATTGTTGCTCCCTTTAGATTTGGTTTTCTTGCAGTTCTGTCCTGATGAATAATGTCAAACAAAAAGCTTTGACTGAATGTGTCTTTTTTTTACTGTAGAATCCCTACAGTGCTGAAACAGGCCATTCAACCCAACAAGTCAACACCGGCCCTCCAAAGAGAATTCCACCAGACCCACTCTTCTACCCTACCTCTGTATATCCCATGTCTAACCCACCTAGCGTACACATCCCTGAACACTATGGACAATTTAGCATGGCCATTCCACCTAACCTGCGCATCTTTGGACTGTAGGAGGAAACCGGAGCACGGGGAGGAAACCCATGCAAACACGGGGAGAATGTGCAAACTCCACACAGACAGTCACCCAAGGGTAGAATCGAACCCGGGTCCCTGTGAGGCTGCAATGCTAACCACTGAGCCACCATGCCCTCACTCAATTTCTGTACCAGCAAGTGGCTATTTACTACATAATAAACTGTTCCAGTTTTCATTTTGCTAAATTTAGTGATTCACTTGAGGAAGCATTTATATTGTGAAGCTGTAATTGACTGATTGAGCAAGTGTCTCATATGAAAAAGCATGAAGTCAGTGGAGAACTCTTGTGGCAGGGTGGTAGTGTCCCTACCTCCGAGCCAGAAGGCCTGGCTTCAAAACTCACCTGCTCCAGAGGTGTGTAATAATATCTCTGAACAGGTTGATTAGAAAATGCCTGAAGTCAGTAGAAAGGGTTCTTGTTGTGTATTGGTAGTGTCCCTACCTCTGAGCCAGGAGGTGTGTAATAATATCTCTGAACAAGTTGATTAGGAAACAAAATGAGGTCAGTGGATTGGTGATGGGAGGCAGCATCAAAGGTGGGATAGGGGTAAAAATCAATGGTTGGGAAGGGAAAGTGCCCATTTTCTTTCAATGTAGGTTCAGCAACAACAATCCTGTTCCACATTCACCTGGGTATTGGGTCTTCCGGTCAGATAGTGTAATGTTATGCAGAAGAGCTCAACACATGTTTGCTGGAATCTGGGGTTTCGTTCAAAAATCCACAATGGGCCCTGAAGCACCTTACGTCCCTATTTAAATAAATTACTCCACACTTATTATTTTCAAGATGCATGCCCGATATCACAAGTGATGCACTTACAACTAGGAAATTCTGCAAGCTTCCTGCCCACCATATTGCGAGCACTTAGTACCCAAAATACAAGCATCAATCACTCACTGTATTTATATGCATCTAACTTGCAATGTTTCAGTCAGTTAGTTCCGGCCAGTCTGAATTGCATGAGAACAACCACAGTGGATTAAATGTTTGTTCATTGTGGTTTTATATTTCAGTACAGCATCTCAGGGGCACCACAATATGAGTTAACTACCTGAGCAACGTCTCAAAAAGAGCAGCACATTCGGCACTTTCCTGTAAAATGAGTGTAGTAACAGTGTGATTCAGCAAGAGGTCCTCAAAGACATCGCTTTGCAGGATGAGCAGGAGATGATGAGTGTGGAACACTTTCACTTCATCTGAGTTCCCTGTGTAGACTTTCAACATGATGTCGCTTGAGTTGGAATTAAACAGAAGGTCCTGGAGGTGATTGATTAGCATCGACGAATGATTGATTGTTGCCATGGAGTTTTCATTTAGATCTATTGTCTGAGCTGAGGAGGAAAGAACATTAATGGAAAACAAAATTATTTTTGAAAAACAAACAAATTCTGCAACTTTGATTTTATCATGGCGTTGTTTAATTCAAATTTTGAATAATGGGGGAGGCAGGCCACAGACACAAACCAAACACATTTCTAATAGGGATAGCTGTGAGTGGTCAATATGCAAAATTAGTCCGGTTGTCTTTTGATTTCTTTTAATAATTTCTCCTATTTGCTATTAGAAGTTCCTTTGAGTTTTCTATCAGAAAAATGGAAAAAATGATTTCAATGTAAATTTCTACATATAACATATTTTTAGCGCAATAATATTCGATCATAGTAACACCATTTGAGCTTCTAATGTGCTATTGGTGTGTTCATGCTGGCCTGACTTCAACCACCTAATTAATCATTTATTTTTAAAGAATTAAGTCTATTTTGTGACAAGTTTTATCAGACCCTGAGAGGATAAACCATTACAGTAGGTTTTATGTTCTTGGTGTACTTCTGAGCACAGAATTCAACTGATCCTATTGCACTTTCAGTGCGTTAAACTGCAAGAGGAAAACAAGTTCATAAAAGCCACCATACTGACTTTTTCACTTGGAAGTTGGTTCAAGATTAAACCAAATTGAAAGATATCCTTCTTATAGATTTTACAGTTCTTTAGAAGAATATATTTGGGGGCTTTAAAACCAACTTCCATTAGGGGAAGCTTCCTCTGAGGCTTCAGGGGAGGCGAAGGCCAGTAGTATTATTTCTAAACTATTAATCCAGAAACCCAGGTAATGTTCTGGGGAGCTGGATTCGAATCCTGCCATGACAGATGGAATTTGAAACCAATTTTTTAAAACATCTAGAATTAAAAGTCTAATGATGACCATGAATCCATTGCTGATTATTGGGAAAAACTCATCCGGTTCATTAATATCCTTTAGGGATTTGGCCTACATGTGACTCCAGACCCACAGCAATGTGGTTGCTTCTTAACTGCCCTCTGGACGATTCGGGATGGACAATATGTACTGGCGCAGCCAGCAATGTCCAAGTCTCATCAATGAATTTTTAAAAAGGTGCAATTTAATCACATAAAACTGTCTGTAAAACGGCAGCAATTAAGGAGTCTCATACAAAGGCATGTAAATGTTTGACAAAAGAGTTGGATTTCTATTTGAAGTATTCGTGCCTATGAATAAGGAGCAGAACTATTTAAACATCTCCTTCAATGAGGTGGCAAGGGCTTGATTAGCCTTTTCTGTTTCAGGATTCTACCTTGAATATAGAAAATGGACTGGGAATATGAATTACGATTAATGAAATGTGAAAGTGCAGATCAGCTCTCCCAAGTTCTACTTGACCTGAGGATTCTTGGTGGTAATATTGAGCAAGAAAAAAAAGCACAATGTGTCAGGGAAAACAATGGCTTAATTCAGACAGGCAGCAAGTCAGTGAAAAGGTATTGCATGTCATTGATGCTAAGTTTAAATTTTATTTAGAGCTCGCTTGTTAAATATTCATTGATCTGAAAGAATATCTTTGAATCTATGTAAGTCTGAGCAGTTGGGAATTTAAATAGCAAATAGTTCAGCTCTTTCAGTCCTTTCTGACAGGATCTTTTAGCTATTGGACTATTTCAGAAATTTTGGCTCATTTGTGCTCATCTCGCTGCATTGAGTGTTGAATCAGGAATGGCATGCTGATTTGAATATCCAAGGAAACCCTTATGGATGCAGACCACAAACTTGAATAGCTTCAAACGCATTTGCACTGAAAACTGTTTACACATCAGCCCACATTTAGCTGAGAAATGCCATTTACACAAAACAACGTAGCGACTGGGATTTTTATTGTGATCACTAGCAGTGCGCTTGGCAACGTAGGTACTTAATAAGCTGCAAGAAAAGAACAATTTAAATCCTTTTAACTTTTGAGATGCAAAATAGAAGTGTTTGGACTGACTTTTATGTGACTTGTTTCTCATTTCTTTGCTGCTCACACTTCGGCTTTCAATCATTTTCCATCAGGTTAAAGAATCAACATTTTGTGCAGATTCTTCTCCCTAAGTGGGAGATGGCGGGTTTAGAGGTGGGAAAGGCATTTAAGTAGGTGGGATGGTGGTGGACTTAAACTCCATCACCTTCCAGCCTCCCTCTTAGAGGGGGAGGCTCATAGTCTATCTTTCTGTCCCACTGCCAATTGACACCCTTAAATGGCCAACTAAAGACCACTTAAGTGGCCTACTTTTCACTGAGATCAACCCAGCCGGTGGTGAATCTGTTGCCATGTGGCATTCATCATAGATGCTAGGTTAATGAACCGGACATTAGGCAGAGCTTGACTACTGGAAACCAGTTCTTTGCCCTTGCGTCCAACCTCCTTGCTCCTCTGTCCCTATGAACCCCAATCCTAGAAGTACCGTCACAAACCCCCACTCCCGACGCTCAAAGATTGTGGGGGTTCTATCAGAGCAGCGTTCACAGCCTTCTCTGCGGTGCTGTTGAGTGCAAGAGCTGCGAGCATCTGCTTGTCTGACAGCTCTTAGTAGGAAGGATTTCTGCCCCCACCCCGGGGTCTTAATTCCAGGAGAAGGCCTGTTGATAGCCTCGCTGCTGCCCGATTGGTGTGCGGTTCGTTGGGCATTGACTAGGAGAGGCCGTGCAAGTCTCTCTTCAGCTCTCCAACTGGCAGGCGAGGCTCTTGATACCTCTCAACAAGATTAGGACTTATCACAGTCAGCAGTATCCTATTTATCATTCCAATCATAAACATAATCTGGTGGGAGCAGCATTGCCTAGAACTCCAATCAATTCCTCAATGCAATACACTTTTAAGTTGCATCTGGACTTACTTCTATATTATGCTTTTCCAGATCTGTATGCAGGTGAAAGTTCTGTCCTGTCTACTATCAGCATCTGTGAGATAATCAAACTAGGAACTAGGACACAGAATCTGGTGGATGCATGGTGTAGAAGAACTTCTATGTGCAGCATATTTGTGATATTAAAAAGAACACTAAACAAAAAATAGCAACAAGCTATTCAGTGTTTATAAGAATGTTAATTAGAGATGTTTTTCAGGTATAAACTTACATGTGTGAATTTGTTGAGGATACTTGGTTAAGTAGACATGCTTATGTATTGGAGATAGTAGGAACTGCAGATGCTGGAGAATCCGAGACAACAAGGTGCAGGGCTGGATGAACACAGCAGGCCAAGCAGCATCATAGGAGCAGAGCCTCTCTGCTCCTATGAT